TTAGTCTTCTGTGTATTTAAACCCTGTCCTGTCTCAGTCTGGTGTCGGATCATTGTTTGTTATTGTTCTCTGTGCTTCATTCCCCCTGCTTGTGTGATCTTCATGTTTTTGTAAGTTGAGCTGTCTTTACAGCAGTTTTTTGTTACCTTTAAATAAATTTTTGTTATACTTTTTGAGCCTGTCTGCACCCTGGGTTTGTTCCTGCCAGTTTTCCTTCAGCCATCATGTCAATATGGACCAAAATCTCTGAGGAATGCTTCCAGCACCTTGTTGAATCTATGCCACGAAGAATTGAGGCAGTTCTGAAGGCAAAAGGGGTTCCAACCCGTTACTAGCGTGGTGTACCTAATAAAGTGGCCGGTGAGTGTAGTTTGAATATATTGTGCTATTAATTGATTTATTGCTTATCATGACAGGCCAACTACAGCTACAGAAACTTTTCTTCTTCACTACCTTTACAGGCTTGATGTTTTGTTTTGTTGTTTTTTCTACAGTTTTCTAAGAATTAACTGAATATATTGAAGTAAAAAAAAGTTTCTCTTGGTATTTGCAACAACAAAATCCCCTGAAAATGATCAATTTGTCTTCATCTTGAACATTTTCGAGAATTGTTTTCACTTATCTCTGTCTGTTCAGTTCATCTTCTCTCTTTATAAACCCACACAGTTTAAACAATAGGTGCTCAAACTCATATGTTCTTGCTCTGGCTCTGCTCTCGGACCGTTTTTTAGTTCTAATCTCTCCCTCTTTGCCTCTCAATCTACTTACATTACACAGGGTAATGGGATTAAATGCGTCAGTTTCAAACGCTTCAAGGTCTGGCCCATTTGATTAGTTCAACGAGCAGTTTGAGCACCAGACCTCCCAGTTAGTGCCTTGCGAGTGGACTTGTCGCAGCTCTTTGGATGACAGGAAGGAAACTCTGACGCACACACACACACACACACACACACACACACACACACACACACACACACACATACACACACACACAGGGACAAACACACACTTACTAATGAAGAAAAGCACCGATGCTTGAAGATGCCCTCTTTCCTCCTTTGTCTCGCTCTGACTTCCCTTCATCATTTTACTCTACAGATTCTGGAAATTCATCCTCTGAGCCTAATTTATCAATATGTCTTGTCGCCCAGATAAGCCTCAGGCTTTTACCAATTCCCAGTGTCCTTGACTGTTAAAGTCTGTTTGCTTATGTCAGAGTTTGAGTCAAACTTTTATTCAGGAATGTAATGTTTTCAGAGACGTTTTCATTTCAGCAAAGTTATTAAAAATCTTTCAGAAAATATGTTCGAGTGAATCAGCGGCTTCTGGTTCACTTGTTTTGTATAAACTGAGCTCTTTTTCACACAGCAAGTCAGTCTGTTCACAGAAGAGTTCAATGCTTCATTACGCAACTGAGCTGACAGACGTAGACTCAA